GCTGACCCGGCTGGGCGACGTGGTGCTGAAGGTGGCCCGCTCGGGCCGGCCGCTGGTGCACCTCATCCGCGCCTGGTCCGTCGTCTGCCACCACCTGATGGAGGTGAGGCGGCCGCGCTCGCCGTCTGTTGCCCGGCTGCATCTGCCATGTGCCGGGTGGTGTCGGTGTCGACCTCGGACGTGTCCGCTGCCTGTGATGTGGTGTCAGCCTAGGGCGTGTCTGCTGTCTGTGGCGCGGTGTGGGCCTCGGATGTGTCCACTGTCTGTGACGCGGTGTCGGCCTTGGGTGTGTCCACTGTCTGTGACGAGGTGTAAGCCTCGGGCGTGTCCGCTGTCTGTGACGCGGTGTCCGCCTGGGGTGTGTCTGCTGTGTGTCTGTGACGCGGTGGGGGCCTCGGGTGTGTCCACTGTCTGTGATGCGGTGTCCGCCAGGGGTGTGTTCGGTGAATGTTTGTGCCGCGGCGTCGTCCTCGGGTGTGTCCGCTGTCTGTGACGCAGCGTCGACCTTGAGCGTGTCCGTTGTCTGTGACGCAGTGTTGGCCTCGGGCCTGTCCGCTGTCTGTGCCGCGGCGTCGGCCTCAGGTGTGCCCGTTGTCTGTGCCTGCGGGCGTCGGCCTCGGGTGTGTCCGCTGGGTGTTCGGGTGAACGAGCGGTGTCGACCTCGGGCGGTGTCCGCTGTCTGTCACGCTTTGTCGGCTCGGCTGTTTCCGCTGTCTGTGTAACGCGCCCTGACACACCGCGCCGCAGGCGGCGTGTCACAAGGAGCTGGCCGTGTCCAGAAGGCGGGTGCTGCATTCACGACACGGTCAACGCCATGCTGAGCTCCCACTCGAGCTGCCGCACTTCCCGTGAACGAGGCGCTGTTCAAGCCGCTGGAGACGCTGCTCTGCCTGGAGCTGTGGCGACGCCGACGTCCAGGGACCAGGTTCGTGTTCTGACAGCCCAGCTCCACCACCTCGCCGCCGGTGAACCTGGTGGATGCCCTGCGACGCGTCCGGTGGGATGAGACGCTTCCGGACTTCTTGGAGTTTTGCACGCAAACTGTCTGCCGAATGTTCCTTGTTGTATGCATATTCTGATGGCAGCATAACCTGGACGCGTCATCTGGGGTGTCACTTTTTAAAATCGGTCGGGGGTTAATCAGAAACCTCAGCCGAAAATGATGATCTTAGCTACCCCTAAAACCTGACGTCTTCCCGGATTTCGACCACTCGAATTTGCGGTCTCGGGATAAAGATTTAGAAATTCATACATTGGAATTTTTGGCGGAGAAATGACTTCTAGCTTCAGGTTAAGGGAAGCTGACTTTTCATGAAAAGCTTTGAGTGTGGCGTAATTCACAGAAAAACGTGTTAGGAAATCTTAGCAAGAAATCACTGATGACTACCGCTGTCGCTGATTGCGTTGTATACCCACTACAGTCTCGATTATGCAGCACATAGGCCTATTACTGTTGGAGGGAATCGCATTACTTTTTGGGGCTACCCTCTTCTCCAAAAAGCTGCTGTATGTCGCAGCCAATGGTTCTTTATCTTAGTCCACGCGCTATCATTTCAAAAAATTGTCAAACATTTGCAGACTGGCTTGACGTATGAAGGAATTTGCATGCCTAAAACATTAGGTACCTTCAGGATACTTTTTGGTACAAAATCAACGTGATACTAATAGTGATGTCTTTAGGCGCCTTATGCCTAGTAAACAAATAGTTAAGGTATTGTTCTGTGTTGATGCGGCTCAGTATTTCCCATTATTCACTCACGTGTTGAGTGTGCTCAGAGCAGTACAGGGGGGGGGGGGGGGGGGGCTCAAGTCAGCATGGGGGGCTCAGGCCTCCTGAAAGTATGCGAAGTGAATCCTCCCGCGCGTCACACCTGTGGCACACTCTGCACCGTTTGCATAATGTCTAGCCTACAACTGGCCATACTGTCCGTCCTGCCGCGCCGCTGCGTCCTCCGCTGCCGCGACCGAGCGCGCGGCGCCGGCGCAGTGACCTGTGTCGATCGACAACTGAGCATGTGCCCCCCCCCCCTCCCTGCAGATCGTCGGCTCGATCTGCGAGTTCGTGGAGCTGAGCACGGCCGAGATCCGCAGCGGATGGCGGCCGCTCTTCGGCGCGCTGCGCTCGGTGCGCGCCGACGGCGGCCCGCCGCCCGAGCCGGCGCCGGCCGCCGAGCCGAGACACGCCCACCTGCGGGTGGTGCTGGACGTGTTCGAGGCCTTCCTCAACACGGACAACGTGCTGGTGTTCGCCAACGCCGCTGTCGACTGCATTCTCTGCCTGCTGAAGCACGTCCGCGGACCAAGTAGGCCTCTGGAGAAGGAGGGGCGGGGGAGGGGGGGGAGAGGAGAGAGACTTCCGCGTCCGCTGCTCGTGGAAGGAGGGATGGGGTCTGCTGCGGCATTCGCTCCTGCAAGGGATAAAGCTGCCCTGGCCGCTCACCACGTGCCATGTCCTGCGGACTGTGTGGAGCCTCCCGGTTAAGACGCTTAGAAAGGAATGTCAATCCGTGCCTCTGTCAGTGCTCAGCGGCAAACTTTTGGCTGCCGTGCACCGCATTGCGGCCGTGATCTGCTACGGGACTGGCAGCCCTGACCTGTGACGGGACCAGTCGCAACGTGTGACAGGACTGGCCCTGACCTGTGACTGAGCCAGCCCGGACCTGTGACGGAGTCGGCTCTGACCTGTGACCGGACCAGCCCTGACTTCCAACAGGACCAGCCCTGACCTGTGGCGGGACTAGCCCCGATCTGTGACAGGACCAGCCCTGACCTGTGACCGGACCAGCCCTTAACTGTGACGGGACCAGCCCTTAACTATGACGGGGCCAGCCCTGACCTGTGATTGGCCAGCACTGGCGTGTGACGTGGCCAGCAGCCCTGACCTGTGACCGGACCAGCCCTGACTTCTAACAGGACCAGCTCTGACCTGTGACAGAACCGACCTTGACCTGTAACAGGACCAGCCCTGACCTGTGACAGGACCAGCCCTGACCCGTGCCGGGCCGCACCGCTGACCGTGCGTGCCGCGTCCACAGCCGAGCTGCAGGACAACAACAGCAGCCTGCAGGACCAGGAGCAGGTGGTGCCGCTGGACACGCTGGGCGGCACACAGCTGGACCTGTGCCGCGCCGCGCTGCGCTACATCAGCCGCTGCCACGCCATCCTCGCCTCCATGCACGGCATGCACAGCTGCCCCGTCTTCCACGCCGCCCACAGGTAACGGCGTCCTGCCACGAGGCCCATGTTGGATTTGTGGGTTGTGGTGTGTTTTGGTAACGGTAGCGAATGGGCGCGGTCGGATCATGAAGCGGAGAGGCGCGGTCGATTTTATGGCTGCTCTGGTCAGCGGTTTTTAAGGCGATCCCGCGCCGTGTGGTCGCTTAATTGACTTAAGCCTCGCCCTGATTCGCCGTTTTGCATAGCGTGGACTGATAGGTGGTAGGGTGGGAGCCATGCGCCACCACTGCCATCGCCTGTCGTTTTCAAACTAAGAAAGACACATTCTAGCGGTAAACACCAGCGGATTGTCTTCAACCTGCTCTCGCAATTGCAAAAGATGTTTTGTTCGGTCAATAATTGATCCCATTATATCAGACCAAAGGCCACATTTTCTGGGAAATTGAACTTTTTAGCTTTACACGCTCATATGTACAGGACCATGACTCGCAGTGACGCTAAATCTAAATAGACGAGTGCTTTGCTGAACTGATAAGCATAACAGCATGTAGTCTTATGTGCTTTAAGCGTGTGGTTACGATGCATGGCCCCGTTAGCGTAACAGTGCCGACCCCGTTACGCGCGGTCCGCAGAATCGCCGGTTACCGTTTGCCGCCCGTGCTGGCCGTAAATCGCCTTACAGTGTTCCTCAAAAGCCGCCGATGTCTCAAAGCCAGAAAGGCTAGGGACACGTTTTTGGTCTGAACTGCTAACACCGTTACTTGCCGCTACCTGCGGTATCCTGGGAGTGCCTCCACGTGCCGAGGCTTTCTGGGGCCGCGGGTGGCGCATGGACCCAATGGCCCCCACGTTGGGAGTCGCCCTGAGCGCGCGGTTAGTCCTGGTGGGGTACCTTATTCGGGCTAGGTCTCAGGGCTGAGATGGGCTAGGATAGCCTGCGTATAACCGTTATTTCCAGATTTGGGAAGGAAAGTATGTCGTGTCGGGGAAGATGTCATGTGGTTGTCTTGTAGTTGCGTGTTGTTGAATTTCATGAGTATCTTGTTGATGCGTGGAGCATCGTCGAAAGTGTTCTTCGATGCGCGTGATTTCGTGACAGAAGACAAGCTTGTGTGTGTTGCGACATCTTTGAATTGTGTTGCCTGTAAAAAATTGTGCCTCTTGTGTGTGTTTTTTTTTGTAAACCTTTTCCGGACGGCAAGCCTCTTCTTGCGCTTTTTGACTGAAGGGCAAGGCATTTACATGTCACCCGAGGTAAACACAAACACGCGTGCGTTCCCCTCATATCCTTGCATGACTGCTGTGGTGGAAATAGATGCTCCTTCCTTGCACTGAAGATGGTCAGTGACCGAAAAAGGCATACAAGTTTTTTTGTACTATTCGTGGGGCAAAGCATTATGAGCAGAGGCACCCATTTTGACAAGGGACAACAAATGTTATTCATTTAGCGGTGTCTTGTGTTAGCTTCCTTTTCATCGTATTTACCAGCCGTTCGGTACTGGTTGCCAAAGATATCTAGCTCCACAAACCCAGTGTTTTGGTGTCGTCATCTGCCGTGCAACCCCATTGTAACAACCGACACCTATCGCATACTTTGTTATCGCCACTCTCATTTCACGCTGTGCAAGGCGTTTAATCACGACAGAAAGGAGCCTGAATTCACAGCTGACCGCACGGTGCGATGAGACCGGGTGCAAGCAGCCGAAAGTCATTACCTTTAACGACCGGACCGAATGCCGGCGGTTCCAGCTGTTACGAATACCCGGCGTGCGGTTCGTGCACACGTCTGAGGCTCTGTGTAGCGTGGCGACCCGGCAGGCGCGGGCGAGGAGAAGCCGGCTGAACGGCAGCCAGAGCGCGTGCCTGGAGACGCATTGGTCAAGCCCATGTGTAGCGCGCTCCCGAAGGTGTATGACTCCGCTATCTGTGGTTATGGCATCACGTGTGAGATGGTAGCTGACAGTTCTCGAGCTCGCTGTCGTACCACTCCCGCGACGCCGCGCAGAACGTCCCGCCTGCCACTCGATGTGCGGTGTCTGCGTATTGACCATTCAATGTTGCTACTGTGGGCACGGCGATTGGTGCTGTGTGCGCGACTTCAGGTCAGGCCACCGGAAAATTAGGCCTGTCTGCATGCTTTCGAGAGTGAATGAATGTAATTACGAGCTGGATTTCAGGCTGAATGAGAAGTGCCTCGGGCTATGTGAAAATTCAACGGGAGCCGCCCGGTCTGGCAGTCACGCTTTCTTGGAGCTAATGTCTCCGCAACCACTCATCGCAGGTTCATGTAGTTTTCAGCAACGAGAAGCGTAATTCTCCAAAAGCTGTGCCGTATAAATCGTTAGACATTTGCATGCAAGCCATTTCATCAGGTGGGGTTTTCCAGCACCATTGCAGTATCGCCACGTTTTCGAATCGTCCGTTCAATAAACATGAAACAGGTAAAAGTTTCAAATGGTGGAAAAGTTGAAGAGCACGGGTGACAAGCCGGTTCAATCTCGACCGCCCGTTGTCGCAGCGTCACTAAGCTGGCGCACTCTGAACCATAACAAAACAGGCAAACGTATTGGCACGCGTGGGTCCATGTGTAGGCGGCCGCGCGCTCCTCGTGCGCAAACCTTGGGTCGGTCAGCCTTACCGGGCGTTTGTAAGTTTGAATGCCCAGATCGCAGGGGTTACAACAGATGACCACGTGACACCGGTTGCAGGATGGATTCGGATGTGGCGGCTGCGGTTCCCGAGCGGGTCTCAGAGATGTCTGAACCGTACTAAGTCATAGGCACCCCACTAATCGAACGGGTGTCGGCCAGCGATATATTCTGAAAACCGATTTCGAACACAAGGTGCTCGGGCCTGAAATGAGAGGGACGAAAACTTTGCAGACTAGCTCTGTTTATTGTGATTAGTATTCACCAGGCATATTCGTGCGTTTTGCAAATATGTGGTTACGTTTGCAAATCGCAAATCGTTGTAGATTTATCGATGTCCATCAAAACTCCCAAGCCCGAACAGACTCAGTCGGCCATGTTTCGAGCCATGTAGACCTCCGCCCGTTAAATTGTCCCTGATTTCTAGCGCATTCATGAACGCCAACGGCTGCCGAGGCGCCATAACCAGCACAGTTGACGCGCCCTGTGAACCCGATAACTAACTGACGGTTGCCGAAGATGTCTTGCTCCATTAGCTTACTGTTTGGCGCCACCCACATGATAACAGCTGATGCCCTCTCGCGTGTATTACCGCTTCACCTGCCCCCCGTTGCGTGAGGCGTCTTATGGGGTGTAAGCCATCGATTCGTCGTGGTTCTAGGCATGGATATGTGCATGCACATCCATCAGCCAGTGCTGGCTGGTGCGATATGAAATTAATGTCCTGATTTAGTTCTGTGATGTATTCCCATTTTGATTTAGTTATTTACTGTATCGTATCCCGCTCTGATTTGGGTTCAATCATGTCGGTTGGGAACATGGCATGTGCTTGGGATGGATGGGTTTGTTGACGGATGGGCACCCTCGTTGCCCAGACATACGCAGACTAGACTTGAGCGATTCGCTCACGTATATTTGCATCGCCTGCCGTGTGCTGTTAATCACTAGGCAGTAGCTATGCTAAACGGTAGATAATGCTGTCGCTGATTAGAACGAAGCATGCAATCGTACCACGTGCTGCAAGGTATCAGAAGTCCAGATGGAGGAACAGGTGTTCAGGGTGTTCAGGTGCTTTGGTGAGAAAGCCGCGAGAATCTGGACGTTCATTCTCGCCCCGCAGGAGCATACCCGAGATTTATGGCGTGACTAAACAAATCGTAGGCCTGTGCGTTGAACAGCGCGAGGCCGTTCCAGGGCACACATTGGGGAGAATGGAACATCTAGGCAGTCCCGACCGGAGACATCAGCCTGCGGCCTTCACTGCTCTTTCACGACAGTAGAAAGGAAACATCCCATGGGGCATGCCCCCGCCCCCATCCCCTGTCGTCGTGCCGTGCCGGACGTCAGCCCCGAAGAAAGCCCTCGCCCCCGCCCCCGAGCGGGGTGTCTTGTAAAGAGTCCGACATTTACCTGTCCCAGGACTGTGTGATGGATACCTTTGTCGGTCGGGGCGTCCGGGCCCTCCCGTGCATCTCCCATCCCTCCTTTTGAGCGGCGTTATCCCCGGGACACGCGTTCCGACTTTCTCTTCGCGCCGATTAACATTTTTTCAGTGTTGCAGGCGGTTTGCGGCCGTGTGTGCGGTGGCGTTCGCTGACATTGTCACGTCCAACTTTCCCGTTCCATTTTCCTGTATACATTTCGGAAGACTTAACGGTGGGCGGAAAACGCTCGGTCATTGTGCCGTACGAAAGCTGACTTCGGCCGGCGACGTGTGGGCGCGTGCGGAGCCGGCCGTGATCCCGGGTGCACGAGCCCGCCCGCTGCGCTGGCGGGAAGGCCGGCCCGGACGTGCCGACGCGCCGGATCCTACGTCCAGATGGCCGTGGAGTTAAAGGGGGCCTGCGGCCGGGGAAAGGCTTCGACGTCACCGCCCGCGTGACAGCCGTAGGATTGTTTGGTAGTGGCGCGTGACTGACAGGGTGTTAGCGTGGCCGGCTCGTGGGCGGGCGGATGTGACATAGCGCGGGAATGCCGTGTCGTCGGGGCGCCAGGCGACGTTGCCTGGCCTGTGCGCTGGCGCCGGGGCGCGGTGTGCGTTTCGCTGACATCATCCGTGTTCGATTCGCGCACAGTGGGGGCGCCGGCGACTGGCCGGGTGCCGCCTGCCTCTTGCCGTCAGGCTGGGTGCCGTCTGTTCACCTCTGTTTGGCCGGGCCCCTTCCTCTCCTGCCGCCTGGTTGGGTGCCGTCTGTTCACCTCTGTTTGACCGGACTCTGTCCTCCCCTGCCGCCTGGCTGGGTGCCGCCTGTTGACCTCTGCCTGACTGGGTGCTGTATCCGGCCGCCAGGATCCAGCTGAACACGGCGCCCCTGACGGTGGACCCGGCGCCCGATGACGAGTCGGCGCCGCCGGAAGAGCCGCCGACGTCGCCCGCCGACGGTCCACCCGTCACCTACGAGCGGCTGGCCGTCCAGGGGCCGTTCACGGCGCTCGAGCAGCTCGATAACGCCAGCGGTGAGTCGCGGAGGGCACCGATGACGTCTTCTCGTCTGGCGGCGCCGAGGCGGCGGTCGGGAGTGTGTTCCACACGCCGGATGGAGATGGTGCCGGTGCTAGGCGTAGTCGTCGTGAGCCGTGCTCGTTCCGGTGAGCTAGTGACTGTGGGATGTTCTGCAATGACGGCAATGGAGCACTGGCGGTGAGAACTGTGTGCCTCGCTCTCTACCTCGGTAAAGAGATCTGGAGGTTCCTACTGTTTGGGTTATGCTGCATCCAACAGACACTCCACACTGACGCTGTTGTCGGCAATGCGCCTCCGTTCTCCTGTCGTCGGCGAAGGGTCTACCCTCAGGCCAATCGCGGTTGTGATCATCTGGCGCCTGTAGCCCCGGCAGCTCCCTCTCTTGGGGCCCGTCGTGAGCCCGTGTGACGCCGCCGCGGTCGGCAGGGATCCTGCGCGTGTGGTACCTGCTGCTGGAGGGCCTGGCCGGAGCCACGGCCACCTGTCCCCGCCGGCACCAGCCCCAGACGATGGAGACGCTGTTCACGCTCCTCCGCTCGCTCGCCAACCGGCCCGGTCAGTGGCGCTGGTCACTCGCCGGCCAAGCGGACCCCGAGGCGCGGAGTGGCCCTCGAGGCCTGACAGCCTCAGCTTATCACTCCGCAGGGATTAATGCTTGGTTGAACCATTATCACTGGTGGCCATTGCGGCCAGTACGAGCGAATGGCCAAATGAAAGACATTTGAATGGGATGGGGTCGTCCACTTTTGGCGAAGCCCTTGGAGCTCACGTTCATCCGCTGTCTGAAGCGCCTCACACCGTCGGCGGTCGGGGCAGTCGAGTGTCCTCGCTGCGTGTGGCCCCAGTGGTCCTGTCCTGATGGAGGAGGTGGTGCCGCCTCGCCGGAGCGACCCCCTGACCGAGTGTGACGCGCGCTCCGATCGGCGGCGGCAGGCGCCGAGTTCGGCATCTACTGCGTCAACCACCTGCTGCTGCCGATGGTGCAGGGCTGGCTGCGGCGCACCGGCAGGCGCCACCGCGGGTGGGACGCGTTCGCCACCAACTTCAAGCAGTGCTGCGGCCTGGCCACCGACCTGGTGGTCTTCTACCACAAGACGCTGCCCGGTGAGTGTGCGCGCCCGCTCCGGGGCGACCCGCGGCCGTGTGGTGCGGCCGGCGGCGCACGTCTCGCTCCCCGGCCGGTCTGTGGCGGGCGCTGTGTATCCCACGCACAACCGGGGCCGGGTTTAGTCACGATTTGTGTGTGTTTGTGGAAGCTTCAGGTGACTGAGACGTCAGGCCCAGGACTGGGTAAGAAAGTTTTTATAATAACTGCCAGTCGGAAATGCCGTCTTGTATTTATGGACACTTATGCTTGTCTAGTTAAGCGTCTGAGCGCTGATCTGTGGCACGCACTTGGGTAAATAAATCCGGCAACTCTGTTGTGTGCCCAGCCAGGGCACTCGTGTGTGGCTCGCTGCAGACGTTCCTGCAGCATCCGCCGTAAAAGAATGCGTCGGATGCTGGTGAGACAGCCGTTTCAGGCTTACATACGAAACATCGTGCCACCGAGCATGGACGCTGGTCTCAGCCACCGGCCTGGGGTATTAGCCCGACTGGGTGCCGGTCCCCAACCCTACCCGGTACCGGACACACCACGGCGCACCCCACTAAACTGAGACCAGTACGACCACGTGCTCAGTGCCATTCCGGGGAGCGTACGGTGCTTCCCCAGTACCCGGAGCGGGCAGGCCGGGCCGCCGTCTGGTCGGCAGCGTGGCGCTAGGCCTGCAGACTGCACGGCGGCTTACAAGGAGCGTCCTTGCGGTGGCTGCTGTGACGTCATCGGCTCAGCTGGAAAGGAAAGCACCCTAATCACGAAAGCGGCATTTGGGCTGGCTTGATACCAATGCCAGCTCACGAGCCCCTGGCGATTTTGGCATGCTTCTTTCGCGCCCTGCATTCGTGATGCGCTGCCACTCGCGGAAGGACGTCGCCGGGCATGCAGTCGTTTGTAGCGCGTCCGTCATGCGGCGTGTGTTCGTGTCCGTCCACTTCGGTCACTGGTCAGGATTGTGGCGGGAGCGGGCAGGAAGCCTGCGCCGTGGTTGATCAGCGGCCAGTACACGACGCACTGGTTCTTACCTGGCAAATGGCAGGGTCGGCGTTGGGTGTTCAGTGGGGCGCTATTATGCATTCCTTTCAGATATGGAGGCAAGCAGAGACACTGCGCCCAGGACAGACTCAAGGCATCGGGCAGGTAGATGGAGAGCGCGAGTAGAGGAGTTTTTTTCTGAGTGCGGAACGTTGCCGAGGGTGTGGAAGTAGACTGAAGAAGAAGAAGACTGAGGCGAGTGTCGACAGTCTTCATAAAGGCAGACAAGCATAGGCAGGCATAGGCAGGCAGGCAGGCAGTCCTTCCTGATGCCCATCGTAACTCCGGCTCCTCTCTGCTACGCAGATGGGAATCGGTTTGGGTTTGAGCGGTGGCGCTTGTGAGTCGTACTCCTCGTCAAGTAAACTATAAAAATTGAATTATGTCGGTGCGTAGTTGTCGGCCAGTTTTCGCGCATTTGTCACTTTCAGACGGCATGAACTGGAGGTGTTTTTTACACCACTCCAAACATATGCACACCCGGACCCAATTGGACTTGGAATGCGGTCGTGGCGCCTGGCACCCTCTAGGCGTTATTCCCTGCTTTGAAGGGTGCCATAGCCGCCCGGGTAACTCCAGCACGCTCGCTTCAGGAATGTTTCCAGCTATCGTGAGGATTCAATCGAATTAAAACGCAGTGCAGGCCTGACGCTGGGCGGCCATGCCATGAAAAATTGCGGCACGGAACGGAAGCATTCGAAAGAATCGTCATTTAGCATGAAAACAGGCCAGCCTTACTCACTGCAACAGCTGGCTAAGAACGTGTATTCGTAATGAGTTTAGGCGGTGCAGTACCATCATGGCATTGCCTGCACGCCATTTTTTTTAAAACGCGTAACGTTGCACGTATGTAACGTGGGAACTGCACGTGCATTGAATATTTTTGGGTCACACAAACATTTGTTTGGGTGAGAGGTCAGAACGTCTGCCTAGTTAGTTGACTTTTGGCTCGAACTGACTTAATCAAATAAAGCAGCGACGAATGTAATGAAAGAAACCAATCAGACGAGACCAACTTTCCAAGTGAAAGCAAGAAATTTTGCTAAGTTCATGCCTTAAAAACTATATCCCATTTATCGGAAATTCTTGGCGGCGGCGGCGCGGGAATCGCACACGTCTGGGGCAGGACTTCACCGTCGTATTTGTGCAGGCGTCGGTGTTTGTGCGTGCAAGATTATCCGCACTGTAGTGTGAACCACGGACTTCCCGCCCCCCTGTAACCTTTGTTAAGGACTGGCGTTTGATTGCGGCAGCCAGACCAGCTACGGCATCGCGGTCAGTATCGGACTGCAGGAGGTCAATTCGACTACGAATGTTGTAGGAAGCCCACCGCTGCTAAACCCGTAGAAATGTCAGTCATCGACCGAAAACACGTTTGAAACTTCCGTGTGGAGTGCGCACGTCTGTGACGCAGGCCGGGCAGCATTGTAAGGAGAAACACGTACGACCCTGTGACCGTGCCGCGGCACGCCAGCTTATCCTGAAATGTGTGTTGGATGAAAAATTGGTTTGCGGAGTCACGTATGACCTATTTTTGTCAAGCCTGTCGTGAATTCAAGTAATTTTTCACTCCAACAAAGTGCTTTGCACAATGTAAACCAGTTGGATGCATGGCGTAGCATACTGGAGCTTACATAAATATCTGCAACAAGTTGATTAATATTTTTCACCGAAATGTCCGCTTTCAGAACGCGGAGCGGGTGGCTTTGATGGGCTAACACGGGTCAGATTGTTCTAGAGTATTCGAGATTTTGTAAATAAAAATTTAAAACATTGCCAAAACTTGCACGTCATTGTTTTGAAATCTTTGCACGTCATTTTAAACATAAAAACGCATGCTTCGACAGCTTTCTACTGGCTTGAACTGAATGCATTGTAATGAAGGATGAGCGATTTTCATGTGAACAGCGAACGGACCGATAGCAAATAACGAGGAGGAAGTGAGGCATTGCACTGCGTTTGTATAGTGCAATGACGCCGCACTTCCACTGCGACGTCTATGGTCAAACCGTTTGCGCGGGAACATAGGAAACGGTAAAAACTTTCTGTGCATCTATAAAATTCCCCGGACCAGAGTCGATGCTGCCCACGCATTTTAGCATCACCGGATTTGCAACCAGGTGCATGCTGTATTTCTTCGATGCGAACACAAAACATACAGCAAACTCAACGTTGCCCCGCCCATGATGAGCGCCAGCGATCGACCAAAAGGATATGTAAAGGAAACTTCGGCTCACGTGGATTCTATAGGAGTCGAAATCAAGCGGTATCACGCAGGGCAGTGCCCACCTACCATTACGTTGTCAAAACTGTGCCGGACGATGCATGACACGGCATACTTTAGGCCCATTTCGGACATCGCCCAAATAGCGTCAAAATTAGGTCCATGACTCGGCTTCACGGGTTGGAAACCAGTTGCTATCCGTTTGACGCGACCACAATTTGTGTAGCAGACTCGACACCGCACACCACGGGTGCGAATCCCGCTAGCCACCGTTAGAATGAAGCTGGATAATTCCGTCGTGAATATGGGCTCTGGAGTCTAACCAAGCGGCTGGGGACCCCAGGACAAACTTGCCATCATGTTACGGGAACTCGCAGACCTGTGCACAAAAGTGGTGCGCCTGTTGAGAAGTGATGCATTTTAGGCACTTCTGCACTGTCAGTTCTACTCACCTGCCAAAGTATGGCAACAGAGCAATAACCTAACAGCCGACGAACAGCTGGCTTAAGGGCGACATGTTGTCAGAACTGGACCGAATAGGACAGTCGGAAGAGTGAACGTGTGTGCGCCAATCGTAAGAGCTCAAGACGGTTCGAACGGTCTGCATTCGCTAAGAAGGAGCGCAGAGGCGCACCGGAATCACGGGGTGACGGGCGTCACCTGTTTGCAGCTATGTACCGTGACCCCGCGGTGACCCCGAAGACCCCGCCACTGTAAATTACCGCTGGTGTCTGTTGGATTCAGCGCATGTTGGACATGTGCGCTCACAAGATGATATGACTGGGAGAGCGATTTGATGCCGCCATCTTATTGGGACGGTGATTTGATGTCACCATCTGATTGGGAGAACGACGTGGTGTCACCATCTGATTGGGAGAGGGGCTCGATGCCACCATCTGATTGGGAGAGTGATTTGATGGCACCAGTTTCAGGAGAAGTGACGAAACTATGCCTGGTGGCCGTCAGTAAGGATTGCAATGGAACGGGTGGCGTCTGGAATGAAATTGGTTCCAGTACCCCAGTGAGGCTTAACTCTGGTTTTTTAGGTTGATATGTTAATGTGTCGCTGAGGAATGTGACAAGGCGCGCCGCATGCACGTGGTTGTGGTGTGGTATTAGCGCTGGGTATCGACGTGCCTGAAGGTACGATTGTTCTTCTTCAGTTATGACTAAACAGTAGGTAATGTTGTCACCACAGTTCAAGCAAGGAAATTGTGTCCCTCTAACGAAGGGGGGCATCACGCAAATGAATCGTCTGGTGCGATAATAGCAAAGGCGTGTGCATGTATCTAGTGCTTCCTCTCGGGGGAGGCCGTTCTGCCCCGCGACAGACCAGACGCGTCGCACCACTCCAGATCGCGGCCTACGCGGGAGTTTAGTCCTGACACGGCTCCATCTCCTGGCCGTCAAATGAACCTGAGATGACGAGCGCTGGGCCGCTAATTTGCCCGCTGCAATGCTCCTTCCCTTCCCCACGAGCGTGTGATATGTGAATTGATGCGGGCGCCGGTGGCGGCGGTGGTGGTGTCGGAGGTGTCCTCCGCGGGCCGACGCGCGGTAACCTGAGGCTGTCCTGGTGTGGGTTTGTGTGTGGGGAGAAGGATGTGTGTGTGTGCGGCGCGGTCGCCGGCGGGCGCGTGCGAGTAACAGAGCCGTGTGGTGTGCCCCTCCGCAGCCGACGCGTCCGAGCGCCAGCGGGCCGGCGCCCAGCTGATGATGCGACAGCTGCTGCTGGTCATGATCGAGTGTGTCTGCCAGCCGCACGAGGTCATCTCGCGACTCGGCTGCGCCTGCATCAGGTACCGTCCCTCTGACAACAGCACACTGCATGCCACGCTGTCTCCCACACTGCCGCTCTCCCGCTGCAGTCGGCAGTCAGCGGCCAGCTCGCTGCCGACCGCCTGCCGCTCAGTTGGAGGCACGCCGTTGTCCTGCTGGTGACGACGGCCCCAGCTCTGTTAGCTCAGCGCGGCGCCCGGCGGTGCCGCCAGCAGCAGTCTCCGATAGCGGTGGAACAACTCAGAGTCCCAATCCCCACATTACGACGCCGCTAAGCCACCAGCGATACGAAACTGACGTATGGGCTGGGATCTTGGGGTGGGCTTAGCTCAGTTTGGAGACAAGGCGAAGGAGCGCCGGGTGAAGGTACGGGTTCAGTCTGGCTGCAGGCCAAGCGTCATCGTCGCCGACCTCGAGCTGTGCGGGAGACCGCGACCCTAATGACGCTGCATGTTGAACGCGTCATTAAACCCAACAATTATGGCTAATGGCACTTGGTGGTGGCTGGGCTGCTTGAGTTGCTAACCCGCTAAACACAACGACCTCGGCGTCGATCAACAGGGCACTTAGCCCCTCCGCCTAACAGCACGCTCGGCAGGTCGGCGCACTGTACGTACGAGCGACCCGCTTAGCACTGTACCCTTGATCATCCTTCCGCGATCTGCGGCAGACGGCAGACGGCAGACGGCAGACGGCAGACGGCAGACGGCAGACGCAGACGGCAGACGCAGACGGCAGACGCAGACGCAGACGGCAGACGCAGACGACAGACAGCAGACGCAGACGGCAGACGGCAGACGGCAGACGGCAGACGCAGACGGCAGACGCAGACGCAGACGGCAGACGGCAGACGCAGACGACAGACAGCAGACGCAGACGGCAGACGGCAGACGGCAGACGGCAGACGGCAGACGGCAGACAGCAGACGGCAGACGGCAGACGGCAGACGGCAGACGGCAGACGGCAGACAGCAGACGCAGACGGCAGACGCTCGGCGGCAGACGCTGCTGCCTGGACAGGGCTCCGAGAGGCTCGGATTTCGCCGTGTTCAGATCTCCCCGATCAAGAGGGAGACGGTCACCGCGAACGCCCCTTGTGCCGCGTGCTGGGTGGCAAGATGACCGCTCCTCGCCCCGGCGCCGGCTCGGTCCTTGTCCGCGACAACAGCAGTCCATATAGGGGAGCTGTAACAGCCGGCCCTGGCCGGGCCCGCTGTTGCATCCGGCCCTGACTGCCTTAAGTAGGCCTGAGGCCTAAGTAGGCCCTTGCCGCCCGGGTAGGCCTTGGGTGGCGAAGCTGCATCAAATCATATCGGCACCTACCGTCTGCCGTCAGTAAGTAAACAGGACCCAGGTACAACAGTCGACGTGCTGCGCAAAGTCATACGGGCTTGACACTCAAACGAGCATGCAGCGAAAAGTGCGTGGAAGTGCACCGAGCTTGTTGGCGGTATGGAGCGTCCCATGGCGGTCGAGTCGGGTGGAAGACCGACCTCCTCTGCGGCGGTCGTCCTCGGCTGTACACCACGGCCTGTGGTGGTGCACGACGTACATCGCGCCCTGCGCCGTGAGACGGCGTACACTACGACCTTTGTCGTTAGGCGGTGTACACGACGACCTATGTTAAGCGGCGTACACTACGACCTGTGTTGCGGGCAGCGTGCATCATGTTCTGTGACGTTCCGCGGTGTCCGTCGTAACCGACTGTCAGGGATGGCATGCCGCACAGCCTGCTGCGCGAGGCGGCGCGCGGGCTGCGCTGCCGCTGTCGGCGTCAGGGCGGTGCGCTGCGGCGTCTGCGTGACGCGAGTCGTGTCGCTGGCCGCAGCGGAGGACCGACTCCTCCCCACGGGCCTCTCCCAGCCGCTCCGCATACGCCAGTTGACACTTATTCGGCGTAAATCATCCCAAATGGTTATTTGTGATCCGTAAATCACGGACGGCGCTGATCTACGACAGGAAGCTCGCAGTGTCTACTTAGGCCATTTGCACGTTCAGATTCTTTTCATCAGGTGCGATGATTTACCGGGTACGTCTAAATTGCGGCCGGCCGGCGGCCGCACAGTGGCGCCGCTGTCGCGGCCGTCCGCCAGGGGCGCCCGTGTCGTGAACCCTGCGGTCAATTAGAGAGTGCCGTCGCTGCACAGCGGCGTGCTGCTGCATTCTGGCGGCGCCGATTAGAGCCCGCCCCCGCCACAACGGCCGATGCGCCCGCTGCAAACGGTGTGGGAACGACGGCGCAGCCCGCTCCACGCACAATTACCCCACATAGTATTCCGCGCTTGCTGCTCAGCTCGTCCCGAAACGCGAATACTTGCAGCCTTTTATGTCGCTCATGGCTCCGAAAACGGCTGGAATAGCCCGGAAAGCCGACCGTACGCAGATTAGCCGGTTTAAAAGAGCGCGCCGACTGACCGAGCGGAATAATTCAAATTAAGCCGGCGATTGCCGGCAAAAATGGTGGGTATTTTACGGGGGGTTTTCACATACTTATTCCAATGGTGCCAATTAAGAACGTATATTTTTCGATTAATTGCCCTATTTAATTCATCTATATTAGGTTCATGCTTGTGATGCCGCCAAAGCATGGCATACCACCGTAAACCACGGCATCAAAACAATGCCGCGGCATGATGTCAGGCCCGCTGGCACGCATCCCCGGCGGATGTCTGTTGTCAGGCGCTCGGCTTGTGTGTTACGCAGTAATGCCGGACGGAAACAATGTATTCATACAGTGCTTAGATGTGTTTGAAGTGCTTTGTAAACAAGGACGTGGATTGCCTCTTAAGCGCCTTCTGAACAGGGGCGTGGGTTACCTTTTTTGTTTGTGCTGCTGCCTCTCTGCCTCAGTGCATGGCAAAATAATGCATGACGGGTGTTAAAAGGACATAGTTTTGATACGTAATGCCTGTTGTCAACAAGTGCTCGTATTGTCCCTGTGTTCATGGTTTTCGGTCATCCTTTGTCATGTAAACGAACGTGGTTTTAGACCATCCTTTGTTCTGAAAACTTTTTTGCTCAATTCATTTGCTCGCTTTACACAGCTTTCTAAAGGGCATCCCTACAACGTCCATTTTATGACTGCGCACGCAAGCATTCCACATGCATTGCAAACGCATTGCATTGCACCACATGCGAACGAACAAGCATTCCACATGTTGCTTTATTTAACGTGTTTCCCACTTGGACGTCTGCACTGTTTGCGTTCTGGAAAAGTGTCCGTTCTGGGCTGCTCTAGGACATCATGGCCACGACTGTCGTCACTGCGCGTACAGTCACCGCAGTGAACGTACGCATAGTGACGTTCACCGCGCGTACGCTTAGCACCTGGCAGATGCTCCCTCAAGTCATTGCTCTAGGCTGTTGAGTTGTTTCGAGTTCTGCCAATGATGTTTGTTTGACCATTTGATCACTAGCTGATAGCCGATCATGGCGGCCAAAACCCCGATGGCACGGGGGGAGGGGGAGGAGAAGTGTCCATTCGCACCCGTTCACTATTGACACGAGGAATATTATTGACGCAAGGCTCACATAAAACGATTGCGGCCGAAGACCGATTTCATTGCAAAACCCGTGATGTAGGAACAAAAAGGAGAACTATGGATCGCCGACCTTAACTTGGTCGGAGGTCCGATTGCACGCGCTTGCACCGCCCCCACCCCCCGTATGGTCTCCACCTGTAGAGGACTGGACGGGCCAGCGGCTTCCCCGTCTGCCATCCTGGGCCACACCCGGCACGCGGCGCCGTCCAGATCAAGGCGACCCCGGCGGCGTGGGCAGCCTGGTCGGACACCTGACCGTAGGTGCGTGCCCTGTGGGGAGGGAACAGCAGCGGAGGCGGCGGCGCGCTCCCAGCGGGCTGCGCTGTCGGCCGGCTGATGGCCGGTGTCGCCATAAGTCACGCACGCCGGCGCGGCGCGCTCTCAGCGCCGCCGCCGCCGGCCGATCGCGTGCGCGGCCCCCATCGGCCGCCGGCGCGCCGCTGTCGCCGCGGCGACGCCGCTTTTTCCGTCATTTTCCTCTCCACTGGCCGCCTTCATTACAAACGACACATGAACACTCGGTCATTAAGATTTTTCCACTCGGGGTGCAATAAAATCATGTGTTTTTACGGCGGCGCCGGCCGGCCTTTATTGGAGTGAGCTTCCTCCTGGCGCTGGCCTCCTCGGAAGTCGACCATTCGCCCGCCTGTTTTACCCGAGCGATAATTTGATTAGGTCGCGCCGTGTGGAGCCGGCGCCACTGGGCGGAAGGCGGGCTGTGCGAGCACCGCCGCTGGGCGGAAGGCGGGCTGTGCGAGCATCGCCGCCGCTGGGCGGAAGGCGGGCTGTGCGAGCACCGCCGCCGCTGGACGGAAGGCGGGCTGTGCGAGCACCGCCGCCGCTGGACGGAAGGCGGGCTGTGCGAGCACCGCCGCCGCTGGACGGAAGGCGGCCTGTGCGGACACCGCCGCTGGCCGCCTGGCCCTGGCCGGGCCGAGCTCACCGCGCGAGCAGGACGCTGCTGCCCTGAGCCCGCCGTTTGGCCCGTGGACGGATCGCCCTGCGCGACACACCGTGCGCTGGCCGGGAGCTTCACCCAAGCCTCAGACGCTGCAGCCGCAGCTGCTGCGTCCGGGACCCGGTGACGCGTTGTTTGCTGCACCACTCCATCCCCGGGCTGTGGCCTCGGCCGCGCTGTCAAGTGCCACACGCAACGGCGTGTGGGGTCGGTGCTGACCCAAATTCAGCCGGTTTGCTCGCGCCAAGTGGTAACAATGCCGGGCGGATTCGTCAGTGTTTGAACAGACGATTGGACTTCCGTGGTCACTGCTGAGATGAGGCCTGTCGCCGTTTGATTGGTTTGCCCATCGAGTGCATTAGACACCAGGGCAATGCAGAGAAGATCCGTGCTACACTTATATAATCGTTTATTATCACTGTGTTTATATTCATTCATTGTTATACCAGATACCAAATTGTTGTGTTGAGTCCTAATCCTATTTGTTCGTTGCTCTAGCTGATAGGACGAATGCAGGTTCGTAGGTTCGCATAACCAACTAGAAGAGCTCTATCCTGGGTATGGATTAACGTACGTATGGATTAACGTACCCACAAATGGTGCTTTGTGCTCGCATTTTGGTCAGCTGGGTCATTTGGGTCTAGTCCTTTATTCCAAGAAAATCAAACGATCGTCCTAGAATATGTTTGCTTTCGGCATTGTGAGTTGAAAGCTCCTATTTTGATTGCACTATCTCCAATACACCAGAAGATACCGGTTAAATGATGTTGTATGCTCAATAGCGATTGTATCGGCAGTACTGAATATTTAGAGGTGTCCTCATCGTCAAGAGAACGCAGTGGACATTTGGTGTACCGTCAAATCTCCGGGTCATGACTGCGGCCGCCCGTTGCGTGAGGATGTAAACATTCTTGAGGATATGCACAGCTCGAAATGCTGAGTGCCGCCAGTGCAATGGTCAGTTTGCGTTACAAGGTTGTTTTACCAGTAAATACTCGTTGGTATCTTGAAGGCCGTCAATTCAACATAGGGTCCTTTGACTCCGAATGCCGAAAAAACAGGAGCTGAATGCTTTTCTTATTTCTGCTCATTTTTGTATTTATCGCTTTGGTTGTCCACGAATGTGGCGTCAAAGTCTAGGAGGCTCGAACTACATGTTGGGGAGGGTATGCCCCCCCCCCTCCACCCCACCCCTTCATCTTAACTGAATACGATCGTACACCCCTAGACGAGTGTTATAGGTCATAGTGTTCCAGCATCTGAGTCTTCAACATCCACACCGTCTCGCCGTCATGTGTGGAATAAGCCACCGCATAAGGTACCTCGGAAAACTGTAGCATCTTCATGATATTTTCACTTCTACACATTGCCGCAAGTTGGCCGCAAATATCGTGCGCATCACACTGTAGCAAATTATCTGTGGAATCTCCCTGTTGTATTAGGGTATCGGTTATGTCCATTTGTTGTCTTCGGAGTCGTTGTATTGCGTTAGAGTAGCGGTTGGGGTAGCGGTAGCAGTAGTAAAACGGGCGTGCGTGCTGCTAACCACTCGGCCGACATCGTCTGAGGTTACGGCTGGGTGATCATCGAAGCTCTGGCCATTGAGTGATGAGTGGGATGATCACGTTCTTGCAAGGTGCTCTGTATCGTGATGTGTATTTTGCACATGGATCTGTGCCTTTGTATAGAGGTGAAGCTTGTTGAAGCGCGTGGATGCTCACGGACCGCACCGAGGGCTTCTCTCCCCTCCAGCTTAGACCGCGCTGGGGGCTTCTGCCCCCTCCGGCTGAGACCGCGCTGGGGGCTGCTGCCCCCTCCGGCTGAGACCGCGCTGGGGGCTGCTGCTGCCTCCTCCGGATGAGACCGCGCCGAGGGCTGCTGCCCCCTCCGGCTGAGACCGCGCTGAGGGTCACTGCGTGGGTTCAGCTGGTCCGTCTGGAGACTTGCCGCTGGCTGCGCCGTCCAGCGAGACACTCGACCGTAGCAGGCCTTGAGAACACTCCAAAACGTTGTGGGCTGTGGCTTTGGTTGTGGCTCTAGTTGTTCGCTGGGTGACTGGTGGCTGCTCCTCAGTTTGTCGCGGTCGGCAACAGTCACCGCTGGAGCCTGCCCTGCGTCCCTCGGCCGCCGCTGGGGCCCGCCCCGGCCTGTCTGGGTCCTCGGTCATCCCAGGAGCCGGCCCTGGCCTGTCCCGGTCCCTCGGGCGCCGCTGGCGCCGGGCTTGGCCTGTTCAGGGTTCCACGTCGAATGCGCCGCAACTAAATAACCCCGCTCCTCAGCCATCGGCACGTGCCATTCGTTACCCACCTGTCAGAAAAGCACTAATTGAGCGGCTTGTTGGCGTGCGCTGTTGCTGTGCACCTGTTGCGCCACTGCGCAAATGGCCCTCGCTGACAGCGGCCCACGTTGCTGCATTCCCGACGACCAGTGCCCAGTGACAATGCAATGGCCCGTGCCGTGACCGGCCGTTGCCCCAGTGTCCGGCGATTAGCTCCGCCCGCGGACAACAGATGGCACTAATGTCGCGGAACGCGAGCCACACAGGAAGGGCGGCGTTTCCGATCGGGGTGGGGGCGGAGGCGACGGTCGACGATGTGGGGTGGCCGCTGCCGACGGTGCTGCGCCGCGTGTGCGCCTGTGACGTGATGATGCACCGGGCTGGCCCTGAAGACATGGGCACGAGAGCCGATCACGCAGGCAGGAAACGTCGCGCCGCCAAGGCCTCAATAGCGTCAACTCTCCTCATTTGGTGCGTTGTCCGTCATCGACCGGTCTTGGTTTCTGTCATCTCTCTCATCTCATCTCCACTCAGTGTTCAGTTTCTGCGCTCTCGTCTCCTCTCATCTTCCTCCAGGGACAGGTCCTTTTGTCTCGTTCCGTCCCCCCCCCCCCCTCCCCGCCCAGCGGTCAGACATCTGATCGTCTGACGTCAGCGGCCGCCGACGCCCGCCAGCTCTCCTCTCATCTCACCGCCGGCCAATCAGCCGACAGATGGCTGGCCGGGGAAAATGGCGGCCGCGCCGGCTTGCCCACTCGTCGGGGCCGACCGACTGGTCGGACCCTGACAACAGTCAGCTGCCTCCAGAGGCGCGCTGAGGCGCCAGCTGCCTCCAGAGACGCGCTGAGGCGCCAGCTGCCTGCAGAGACGCACTGAGGCGCCAGCTGCCTCCAGAGGCGCGCTGAGGCGCCAGCTGCCTGCAGAGGCGCGCTGAGGCGCCAGCTGCCTCCAGAGGCGCGCTGAGGCGCCAGCTGCCTGCAGAGGCGCGCTGAGGCGCCAGCTGCCTCCAGAGGCGCGCTGAGGCGCCAGCTGCCTCCAGAGGCGCGCTGAGGCGCCTGCTGCCTCCAGAGGCGCGCTGAGGCGCCAGCTGCCTGCAGAGGCGCGCTGAGGCGCCAGCTGCCTCCAGAGACGCGCTGAGGCGCCAGCTGCCTGCAGAGGCGCGCTGAGGCGCCTGCTGC